TTTTTTTTTTTTTTTAATGCAGAATGTTCTATCTAGGGTTGTTAGCCTTCCCTTTGTGAGTACCACCTATGATATGGTATCTTCTGCCTATGCCAACACAAAAGATAACCACCCCTACCTGAAGACAGTATGCGAGATGGCAGAGAAAGGAGTTAAGACAATAACTGCAGTGGCCCTGACAAGTGCTATGCCAGTCATCCAGAAACTGGAGCCACAAAGTAAGGCATGGTTGTGTGTGTCAGTAGGGGGTGGTTTTGTTAAAGCTGCTGAATTGTTCAGGTGTGTGTTCAGGAGGGAGGGGGGGATGAAGGGGTAATGTTAGAATCTGGGGGCAATGTGAAAGGGAACTATGCATGCCTGGGATATTTGTTACTGTAATGTGTCAGCTCTAGCTGTAACAGTTGAGCAATTGTCTTTGCTTGGTGCTATAACACTTATCAAGTTGTGCATGTGTTTGTTTTTTTGGGGGGAGGGGGTTGGGCTTTTTTTTAATGGGCTTTTGATGAATAGTCTGAAGTTGAGTCTTAATTGTTAAGATTAAATTTGTTCTTAAGAATCTTTGAGTAAGTAGGCTTTTGTTCAACTCCATTTCCTAACCTTTCACCCACTTCTCAGCTCTGTGTCATACTTGCATTTTAACCTACTTTAGAGTACAGCTTGCAACTTCAGATTAACCAATCATGTTTCATGGCAGCTTGTTACTGGTTCTACTGAGGAAGTGTTGTCACATGAACTGGCAAATGGCCAGGAGGCATTTGGCCTGTTCTGAAGGTCACTTGAATATTCATAAATAGTTCTTCACTTGCAAAATCCTTAAATACTGCCCTTGGAGCTTGGGCTGTTCATTATAGGGCTGCCTAAAGATTGCTCCCTATGATAACAGTAGTAGTTATTAACACCTATCCTTTTACTTATTTATTTATTTTTTTTTTTATATTGCCCTTGTAATGTTCATCATTCTTGACTCTCTCTCTTTTTTTTTTTTTTTTAGTTATGGTTGCCAACAACTATGCATGCCTGGGACTGGACAAAATTGAGGAGAGGCTGCCAGTGCTGTATGAGCCAACTGTCAAAGTAGGTTTAACTACTACATTTTAAATTTCAAGGGGAAATCCCAAGGATCCAATTGTGCTTGGAGCATCATGGCCTATTAAAAAAAAAACAAAAAACAGCAAGTGTAGGAAGCTTGAAACTTCTGTGTCAACAGTGGCTGTGTCCTGGTTTTTCTACCTTTCGGAAGTCACTTCAATGCCTGACCCCCACCACCCATCCCTCCCTATGTGTTGAGTAGCCCTGGCTTAAAATGGAGTTAGTGACTGTTCTTGGCACCTTGTTTTAAAACAAGAGAATTTAAGCTTGTGTCTCTCCTCACTTACGTTGATGGCTTTTACTAGGCCCTGAAAAGTTAATCACTTTTTTAAACAACTGCATCTGAAACTACACAAAAATGAATTGCATTCAACTTTTGGTTGCTTGTTGGACCTTGAAATGAAAACTGACTAGAGCAAACTACTATAGAGAGAGCCATGCAAAAAATGTGTTTTATTTCTGCCCACCAAACTGGAAAGTGTTGAATTGCCTTTCTCTATTTATGTAGTAGCTTGAACAGCAGAACTCCAGCTCCAACTTGTAAGACATGCTCTAGTGAGGTTAGATTAATCTTCTAGCAACTTGGCAAAGTGGGAAGGCTGGTTTTCATACGCTTACTACCATGTAATCAACATAAAATTGCTGGTGCATCAACTTCCTGCTTGAACAAATGCACTGTAACTTCTCTGAGAGCCTTTTACATAAGGAGGCTCTAATTTCCCCTTGACTTTTTGACAAAGTGGACAAAGACACCAAGTTCTTCCTTCAAACCAGTGAAGCCAATCTCCTCTCATGAGTCGGGGTGCAGTGGCAAAGCAGTGAAGGTGTCTTGCTACCGCTCCAAAGACTAGAGTTCATGCTTCTCTTGGGATTTGTGCCAAAGGCTACCCACTATTAACCCAGCTGTAAATGGTATTTGATTTATTTTATTTTTTTTTTTCATGCTGGGTGGTTTAAGGGTAGAGCCATTAGTAAACGGGCATATCTTAAGTGTACCACCCCAGTGGGGCATTGGCTTGGGTAGACTTCCAAGTTGACCAAGTTTTTGAGAAGTTAATCACTTCTGAAAGAATTGGGAAGCTGTTTGGTGGCCTGCTTTGCTTTAGTTTTGGACGCTACTTACTGCTCCTGTCACTGTGGAATTGATGTAGAAAAAACTCTAGCAGCATCCTGTATGGAACTGTCAGTGAGCCACTTAACTAGACTTCTTTGTAAGCACTTGTCCTAAGATGATTCGCATTCCCTTTACCTAGTCAGCCTTCCAGATAGTAACAGTGTCCTAATTTAAAGAAAACAGCAACAAAAAATCTGTTTAATTGACCTGGGTTAAAGAACTTGACCTTGATGATCCCTAAAGAGTTGATCAGAATAGAGCCATAGTACCTGGCCTTCTAAAATCAGGGCTTCTGTAAAGTATCTTGGGCTGGGTACCTAGAGTTGAGTCTGAAATACTAAGTCTTGATTTGTAACTTATTTTTTGAGTGGTAACCTTGGGGGAGAGATGGCAACATAGGAGGGTTAACAGTGGAGTTGCAAGCCTACAAATCTCTTGCTTAAACAGGAATTACTAATTCATTTTGCAGTAGCTTTAGGCTTATGCATGCTATGTGAAAGCAAAGTTTGTTGTTTTCTTAATTACTAATTTGGTGTGACTGTGTCTTGGATTCTGTTATTCTCTAGCAAGTACAACCTATCAAACTTAATTCTTCTTTGCAGGTGGTTGCCAATGCTAAGGATGTAGTTGTTGGAGCAAAAGATGCTGTAACGACTACTGTGACTGGTGTCAAGGATATTGTTTCTCACACTATTACTGGAGTTGTGGACAAGACAAAAGTAGCTGTGCATGACAGTGTGGAAATGACCAAGTCTGTTGTGAATGGGAGCATTAATACCATCCTGGGAAGCCATGTGATGCAAATAATGAGCAGCGGGGTGGATAGTGCACTGAGCAGGTCAGAGACTCTTGTAGACCAGTATCTTCCACTTCCTGAAGGGGAGCTAGGTAAGATGAGTTCAGTGCTTGGTAAAGCAACCAGGGGGAAGATTGGGGTGGACAGGCAAGCAGAGTCACTATTATCTGTGCTTTACCAAGAGGGTGTCCTTCATGTCTAGGCTTAAGGATGTAGCTGGGAATTCATGGAGGAAAGTGGCTGGTTCAGGATGAAGAGGTGCAGATGCATGCTAGGTCTGCCTTCTGGTCTCTTTTTTTTTTTTTTTTTTTTT